TGTTTGTTGTGTTTGTGTTTGTGTCTGTGTTGTGTCTGTGTTTGTCTGTGTTTGTGTCTGTGTTTGTGTCTGTGTTGTGTTTGTGTTTGTGTGTCTGTGTTTGTGTCTGTGTTTGTGTTTGTGTTTGTGTCTGTGTTTGTGTCTGTGTTTGTGTCTGTGTTTGTGTCTGTGTTTGTGTCTGTGTTTGTGTGACTCGGGCCCCTGAGTCCAAAACTGAGGCTCCTGAACACCTGAAAGCTCCAAAGTCCTGAGCAGCTATAAGGTCTGAACAGCTGTGAGGTCTGAACAGCTGTGAGGTCTGAACAGCTGTGAGGTCTGAACAGCTGTGAGGTCTGAACAGCTGTAAGGTCTGAACAGCTGTGAGGTCTGAACAGCTGTAAGGTCTGAGCAGCTGTGAGGTCTGAACAGCTGTAAGGTCTGAACAGCTGTAAGGTTTTGGCGTGGGCGTCTCTGTGTGAAGTCCGGCTTTGATTCGCTCGGTGCATCATTAGCGCCGGTCTCCGCGGTAACCGTATCCCCGGCCCCACCCCCCGCTGTGTCTCCACGGTAACCGTATCCCGACCGTCGTCAGGGAAACGCTGGAGGCCCACGCCGCTTTGAACAAAACGACTTTAACGAGACACAGACTCACAGGAACAGAACTAAACCTGGACTAAACCTGGACTAGACCAGGTCTAAACCAGGTCTAAACCAGGACTAAACCTGGACTAGACCAGGTCTAAACCAGGACTAAACCTGGACTAGACCAGGTCTAAACCAGGACTAAACCTGGACTAGAGCAGGTCTAAACCAGGTCTAAACCTGGACTAAACCTGGACTAGACCAGCTCTAAACCAGGTCTAAACCAGGACTAAACCTGGACTAAACCAGGTCTAAACCAGGACTAAACCAGGACTGAACCAGGACTAAACCAGGACTAAACCAGGTCTAAACCAGGACTAAACCAGGACTGAACCAGGACTAAACCAGGACTGGACCAGGACTAAACCAGGACTGGAACAGGACTAAACCAGGACTAAACCAGGACTAAACCGGGACTGGACCAGGACTGAGATTTTTCATCGTAACGTTTTGAATCTTGGATTTTTGGGATAATTTTGCTTTTGGGTTTGAGCCTCAGTTTGAGCCTCAGGCTGCCCCAGATGCCCTCCCACTGCCCCAGATGCCCTCCCGTCCCAGACTCACGCAGCAGGTGCCACTCGTCCTGTTGGATGGTCCGGGTCAGGTTCAGGGGAATGTTCCGGAGACGGATCGGCTGCGAAAAGTGATACTTCACCGGAGTGCACCTTTCAGCTATTCCTGCAACACACAACACACACAACACACACACACACACACACGACACACACACACACACACACACACACACACACACACACACACACACACACACACACACACACACACAACACACACAACACACACACACAACACATATACACACGTGGTTAGACCTTTCAGCTGTTCCTGTAACTCGCGTGTCAGTGGATGTGACAGAAACGACGAGACACGAAAGAAAATGATAATAGAGTAATAATGTAGTAATAATGTAGTAATAAAGTAGTAATAATGTAGTAATAATGTAGTAATAATGTAGTAATAATGTAGTAATAATGTAGTAAAAAGGCCACTGACCAGAAGAGCAGAGTTCAACTCTAGGAGGGAGGGACAGAAGCGACAGGAGCAACAGGAGTTTTGATTTGGTGATTAGATCAGTGAGGTTCTTAAACTTTCTGATGCTGAGGCCCGATTTTCCCACTGCAGAAGAACTCGAGACTCGAGACTCAGGACTGAGAAAATGTCGTATTGAAGCTCCTGAAACTCCTGAAGCTCCTGAAGCTCCTGAAACTCCTGAAGAAGCTCCTGAACTCCTGAAACTCCTGAAGCTCCTGAAGCTCCTGAAGCTCCTGAACTCCTGAAGCTCCTGAAGCTCCTGAAGCTCCTGAAGCTCCTGAAGCTCCTGAACCTCCTGAAACTCCTGAAACTCCTGCAGCTCCTGAAACTCCTGAAACTCCTGAAACTCCTGAAGCTCCTGAAGCTCCTGAACTCCTGAAACTCCTGAAATCCTGCAGCTCCTTGAAACTCCTGAACCCTCCTGAAACTCTGAAGCTCCTGAAGCTCCTGAACTCCTGAAACTCCTGAAGCTCCTGAAGCTCCTGAACTCTCCTGAAGCCCTTGACTCCTGAAACTCCTGAAACTCCTGAAGCTCCTGAAGCTCCTGAAACTCCTGAAGCTCCTGAAACTCCTGAAACTCCTGAAGCTCCTGAAACTCCTGAAACTCCTGAAGCTCCTGAAACTCCTGAAACTCCTGAAACTCCTGAAACTCCTGAAACTCCTGAAACTCCTGAAGCTCCTGAAGCTCCTGAAACTCCTGAAACTCCTGAAACTCCTGAAGCTCCTGAAGCTCGGCTCCCACAGCTCCAAACTCACTGAATCACGGCGATAATAAGCTGATGTGATTGGACGAGCAGCGTCACATGACTGTGTGACGTCACCGAGAGCTCAACAGTGATTGGTTTAATTTGGCCCATGTGACCTGGTGACTCAGGTTTGGGGTTTTGGACCAAATTCTGTTTCTACTTCAGGTCGTTTCTAAAGCTCCAGTCGTCGTGTTCCACACAGGAAGTTCTCCAGGAGGCTCTTCTGGCTCCTTCTGGCTCCTTCTGACTCTGGCTCTTCCACTGGAAAACTGTGGCTCCTCTGGACCTGAGCTGTGACCTGAGCTGTGACCTGAGCTGTGGCCTGAGCTGTGACCTGAGCTGTGGCCTGAGCTCCTCTCTCTGCTGGGGCCTCTGTTTGGTCTGAGATGTTCTTCTGGAGTTTAGTTCAACATTTTGTCGGTTAAAACATTTGGCTCCAGATCCTCCGCTGTGGCTGCTGACCTCCATGAGCTTCATTTGGCTCCATGAGCTTCAGTTGGAGCTTCGTTTGTGGAGACTCAGGTCACTCAGGACTCTTCTGTTCCTCACTGAGGTGTTTGAGGTGGACCTCTGAAGCTGTGAGGAGCACCTGAGCACCTGCTTCACTGTGACCAGAAGGACATTTTCTCCAGAGCGTTTGGACTTCAGGTCGTCCATGACCTGAAGTGTTGAACTAAACTCCAGGATCCTGAGAAGAAGAACATCTCAGACCAAACTGAGGGTCCAGCAGAGAGAGGAGCTCAGGTCACAGCTCAGGTCACAGCTCAGGTCACAGCTCAGGTCACAGCTCAGGTCACAGCTCAGGTCACAGCTCAGGTCAGAGCTCAGGTCCAGAGGAGCCACAGTTTTCCAGTGGAAGAGCCAGAGTCAGAAGGAGCCAGAAGAGCCTCCTGGAGAACTTCCTGTGTGGAACACGACGACTGGAGCTTTAGAAACGACCAGACCAAGTCCAGACCAGGTCCAGACCAGGTCCAGACCAGGTCCAGACCAAGTCCAGACCAGGTCCAGACCAGGTCCAGACTCAGGACTGGACCATGAACCGGACCAGAATTAGAATTCTAGACTCAGAATGTTGCTGAGTCGTCAGACACAAACTCTGGAGGAGGAAGAGGAAGAAGATGATCTTAGTTCTTTAGATGAAGAAGAAGAGGAGGAGGGGGAGGAGTTATTGATCACTGATCAGGGGCGCGCTTGGCAGCGGGCCGGGCGCGCGCCCGTGTACGCGTGCGCGAGCGCGCACGTACCTTTGACGATGAGCTTGTCTATATCCGGGTCTTTTCCCATAAAGTAACACTTGCGCCAGAGGCCCGCGTGCGTGGAGAAGAGCGGGCGCCCGCACTCGGTCTCGAGGATGCCCATCCCGAGGATCGCGCGCCAGTTTTCCAGAAGCTCGTCCTCGCGGCTGCCCACGTGCACGGGCCTGAGCACGGAGCCGCGCGGCGCGTCCACGAGCGGCAGGTGGAAGATGGGCTCGTCGCGGTTCTTTTGATCCGTGGAGTCCGCGCCTGCGCGGTCACAGTTGCGCTTGTGCGCGCGCGTGTCCGTCTCGTGCCAGTGGTCGGTGCTGATGGCGAGCACGAGCAGCAGGAACGAGAGCGCGCTCAAACCCAGGCTCGCGGCCGTTACCGTCACTGTCAGCGGCCGCGCGCGCTCCCTCGTGCACGCGCTGCTGGTTCCGTCCCGCGCCATGGTCCCGGTCCCGGTCCAGGTCCAGGTCCGTCTCCATCCGCCGCTCCTCGCGCCGCTCTGAGAGTGTGCGCGCGGAGGGCGGGGCGCGCGCAGCAGGCTCCGGCGCCTTCACAATAAAAGTCCCGTACGCGCGTGCGCTCCTTCAAAATAAAAGACAAAGAAAAGAGGAAAGGCGCGTGCGCCGCGCGCTCAGCTCTGCGGCACTGCGCGAGCGGCAGAGGCGCGACGGAAGTGTGCGTCACTGCGTCACTGCGGCCGCGCTGGGCGTGGCCTCACTGCGCCCCGCACGAGCCACAAACACGCGCAGGACACGCGCACGACACACACGTGTCTGTCCTACACGCGCGCGCACATGTACAGGTGCAGGGTCTGACAGGCTCTGACAGGTGCAGGGTCTGACAGGGTCTGACAGGGTCTGACAGGGTCTGACAGGTGCAGGGTCTGACAGGGTCTGACAGGGTCTGACAGGTGCAGGGTCTGACAGGGTCTGACAGGGTCTGACAGGTGCAGGGTCTGACAGGGGTTTGTTGGTGGCTCAGTCCTGCAGAGTCTGAAGGACGAACAGATCAGTTCATCAATAATTCAACACAAGAAAATCTGCAGGACCAGACCAGAACTAAACCAGTTCTAGACCAGGTCTAGACCAAGTCTAAAACAGGACCAGACCAGGACCAGACCAGGTCTGAACCAGGACTAGACCAGGTCTGAACCAGGACTAGACCAGGACTAGACCAGGTCTGAACCAGGACTAGACCAGGTCTGACTAGACCAGGTCTGAACCAGGACTAGACCAGGTCTGAACCAGGTCTTAACCAGGACCAGATGAGTACTAGACCAGGACTAGAGCAGGACTAGAGCAGGACTAGAGCAGGACTAGACCAGGTCTAGACCAGGTCTGAACCAGGACTAGACCAGGTCTGAACCAGGACTAGACCAGGTCTGAACCAGGTCTCGGGGATGTTTGGTCATTAATATTCCTGATGAGTGTTGCTGTTGTCATGGGAACAGGCTCCAGAGTCACATGACCTGTTGCTACCGGCAACAAGGAGACGAGGAAGGAGAGAAGGAAGTAAAGAAGGACACACAAGTACACACAAGTACTCACAAGTACTCACAAGTACACAGAAAAGTACAATAAGTACAATGTAAAAGTTTTTTTTGTCTCATTCTGATTTTTCATCACAAATGTTTTTTCCCAAACTTTTACATCAGTGACACAAGAAGAAGAAGAAGAAGAAGAAGAAGAAGAAGGAGAGGAGAGGAGGAGGAGGTGGAAGAGGAGAGATAGGAGGAGGGAGGGCATCTGACTCAGGCTCAGGTCTCATTGATCCGGGAGCAAAGGATCATGGGAAGTGCATCGATCTGCAGTGTCCTTCAAAACAACTCCACAGGAACAACACTGAGAGAGCGCACGTGTGTGTGTGTGCACGTGTGTGTGTGTGCACGTGTGTGTGTGTGCACGTGTGTGTGTGTGCACGTGTGTGTGTGTGTGGTGTGTATAGTGTGTGTGTGTGTGTGTGTGTATAGTGTGTGTGTGTGTGTGTGTGTGTATAGTGTGTGTGTGTGTGTATAGTGTGTGTGTGTATAGGTGTGTGTGTGTGTGTATAGTGTGTGTGTGTGTGTATGTGTGTGTATAGTGTGTGTGTGTGTACAGTGTGTGTGATAGTGTGTGTGTGTATAGTGTGTGTGTGTGTGTGTATATGTGTGTGTGTGTGTGTGTGTGTGTGTGATAGGTGTGTGTGTATAGTGTGTGTGTATGTGTGTGTGTGTGTGTATAGTGTGTGTGTATGGTGTGTGTTGTGTGTGTGTGTGTGTGTGTGTATATGTGTGTTGTGTGTGTGTGTGTGTGTGTGATAGTGTGTGTGTATAGGTGTGTGTGTGTATAGTGTGTGTGTGTGTGTGTGTATGTGTGTGTGTGTGTGTGTGTATGTGTGTGTGTGTGTGTGTGTGTGTGTGTATAGGTGTGTGTGTGTGTGTGTGTATTGTGCATGTGTGTGTGTATAGTGTGTGTGTGTGTATGTGTGTGTATAGTGTGTGTAGTGTGTGTGTATAGGTGTGTGTGTGTGTTGTGTGTATGTGTGTGTGTGTATAGTGTGTGTGTGTGTGTGTGTGTGTGTTGTGTGTGTGTGTGTGTATGTGTGTGTGTGTGTGTGTGTGTGTGTGTGTGTGTGTGTGTGTGAAGGACACGGTGAATTATTGATTTGTCTCATTAAAATTTCACGAGTTTGAAAAAGAAAAAAAAAAGTGCTGATTCAGAGAAATGAGCTCAGCGCAACACACAAACACACACTATACACACACACACACATATATACACACACACACTATACATACACACACACACACACACACACACACACAGACAAACACAGACACACACAGCCCTGACAAAATAAACAGTTTTCTAACGGTTTGTTCTGGATTGAAGTCACTTTCATGAGTCAAACAGAAACTCTTGAGTCTGACTCTTGAGTCTTGAGTCTGAGTGTTGGGTCACAACAACATTTACTGATTTTTATGAGGTAAAACTTTTCATTTTCTGCAAAAACTGACCCTGAGGTGTTCCCAGGCCAGTCCAGAGACATAGTCCCTCCAGCTGCGCCCTCTAGTGTTCACTCTAGTGTCACTCTGTGTTCACTCTGTTCACTCTAGTGCCACTCTGTGTTCACTCTGTTCACTCTAGTGTCACTCTGTGTTCACTCTGTGTTCACTCTAGTGTCACTCTGTGTTCACTCACTCTAGTGTCACTCTGTGTTCACTCTGTTCACTCTAGTGTCACTCTGTGTTCACTCTAGTGTCACTCTGGTGTTCACTCTGTTCACTCTAGTGTCACTCTATGTTCACTCTGTGTTCACTCTAGTGTTCACTCTGTGTTCACTCTAGTGTTCACTCTGTGTTCACTCTGTGTTCACTCTGTGTTCACTCTAGTGTTCACTCTAGTGTTCACTCTGTGTTCACTCTAGTGTTCACTCTAGTGTTCACTCTGTGTTCACTCTGTTCACTCTAGTGTCACTCTGTGTCCTCTAGTGTTCACTCTGTGTTCACTCTAGTGTTCACTCTGTGTTCACTCGAGTGTTCACTCTGTGTCACTCTGTTCACTCTAGTGTCACTCTGTGTCCTCTAGTGTTCACTCTGTGTTCACACTGTGTTCACTCTAGTGTTCACTCTAGTGTTCACTCTAGTGTCACTCTGTGTTCACTCTAGTGTTCACTCTAGTGTCACTCTGTGTTCACTCTAGTGTCACTCTGTGTTCACTCTGTGTCACTCTAGTGTCACTCTGTGTTCACTCTGTGTTCACTCTAGTGTTCACTCTAGTGTTCACTCTGTGTTCACTCTAGTGTTCACTCTAGTGTCACTCTGTGTTCACTCTGTGTTCAGTCTAGTGTTCACTCTGTGTTCACTCTAGTGTTCACTCTGTGTTCACTCTGTGTCCTCTAGTGTTCACTCTGTGTTCACTCTAGTGTTCACACTGTGTTCACTCTAGTGTCACTCTGTGTTCACTCTAGTGTTCACTCTGTGTTCACTCTGTGTTCACTCTGTGTTCACTCTAGTGTTCACTCTGTGTTCAGTCTAGTGTCACTCTGTGTTCACTCTAGTGTTCACACTGTGTTCACTCTAGTGTCACTCTGTGTTCACTCTAGTGTCACTCTGTGTTCACTCGAGTGTTCACTCTAGTGTCACTCTGTGTTCACTCTGTGTTCAGTCTAGTGTTCACTCTGTGTTCACTCTAGTGTTCACTCTGTGTTCACTCTGTTCACTCTAGTGTCACTCTGTGTCCTCTAGTGTTCACTCTGTGTTCACTCTAGTGTTCACTCTGTGTTCACTCTAGTGTTCACTCTGTGTTCACTCTAGTGTTCACTCTGTGTTCAGTCTAGTGTTCACTCTAGTGTCACTCTGTGTTCACTCTGTGTTCACTCTAGTGTTCACTCTAGTGTCACTCTGTGTTCACTCTAGTATTCACTCTAGTGTCACTCTGTGTTCACTCTGTGTCACTCTAGTGTCACTCTGTGTTCACTCTAGTGTTCACTCTGTGTTCACTCTAGTGTCACTCTGTGTTCACTCTAGTGTTCACTCTAGTGTCACTCTGTGTTCACTCTAGTGTCACTCTGTGTTCACTCTAGTGTCACTCTGTGTTCACTCTAGTGTCACTCTGTGTTCACTCTGTTCACTCTAGTGTTCACTCTGTGTTCACTCTAGTGTCACTCTGTGTCCTCTAGTGTTCACTCTAGTGTTCACTCTGTGTTCACTCTAGTGTCACTCTGTGTTCACTCTGTTTTCACTCTAGTGTCACTCTGTGTTCACTCTGTTCACTCTAGTGTCACTCTGTGTTCACTCTAGTGTCACTCTGTTCACTCTAGTGTCACTCTGTGTTCACTCTAGTGTCACTCTGTGTTCACTCTAGTGTCACTCTGTGTTCACTCTAGTGTCACTCTGTGTTCACTTTTCGTTATGTCCTGAAGGGGTCGCTGTGAGGCGCATGCGCACTGTGCTTGTTTTGGTCCATATCCTGCTCCAGACTCGGATCATAACCAGACTAACCCGCCGGGACCTTAGCCAGGTAAGCCCGGCTCTGTGCGGCTCTGTGCGGCTCTGTGCGGCTCTGTTCGGCTCTGTTCCCGCTCGGTCCCGGGCTCAGCTCCCGCCGCGGAGCCCCGGAGCTAATGCTAATGCTAATGCTAATGCTAACGGCTGACCTACTTTACGCACGGCCCGGTTCAGACCGGGACAAAGAGCCTCTGCCGGTCCGGGTCTAGTCCGGGTCTAGTCCGGGTCTAGTCTGGGTTTAGACCTGGTTTAGTCCGGGTCTAGTCCTTGTTTAGTCCTGGTTTAGTCCTGGTTTAGTCCGGGTCTAGTCCTGGTTTAGTCCGGGTTTAGTCCGGGTTTAGACCTGGTTTAGTCCGGGTCTAGTCCGGGTTTAGACCTGGTTTAGTCCGGGTCTAGTCCGGGTTTAGACCTGGTTTAGTCCGGGTCTAGTCCGGGTTTAGACCTGGTTTAGTCCGGGTCTAGTCCGGGTTTAGTCCTGGTTTAGTCCTGGTTTAGTCCGGGTTTAGACCTGGTTTAGTCCGGGTCTAGTCCTGGTTTAGTCCGGGTTTAGTCCTGGTTTAGTCCGGGTCTAGTCCTGGTTTAGACCTGGTTTAGTCCGGGTCTAGTCCTGGTTTAGTCCTGGGTTTAGTCCTGGTTTAGTCCTGGTTTAGTCCGGGTCTAGTCCGGGTCTAGTCCGGGTCCTAGTCCTGGTTTAGTCCTGGTTTAGACCTGGTTTAGTCCGGGTCTAGTCCTGGTTTAGTCCGGGTTTAGTCCTGGTTTAGTCCTGGTTTAGTCCGGGTCTAGTCCAGGTTTAGACCTGGTCTAGTCCGGGTCTAGTCCTGGTTTAGTCCAGGTTTAGTCCCGGTAAATAAAGTGTGAGTTGTGAGTCGGTTTAACCAGAGAAATACAGAGAAGAACAAACAACATCAAATAAAACAAACATAAACAGTATCAAATATAAAACACATATAAACATCATATATAACACTTATAAACTTAAATATTATATATATATATATATATATATATATATATATATACACACACACACACACACTATATATATTTAGGGTGCAGGAGAGATGTGTGACCTCTGACCCCGCTGTGCGCAGGTCAAAGGTCATGGCGCTCATCTCTCTGGAAGACCTGGAGGGACTGGACGATGACATCACCGACGACATCAGCGATGACATCACAGAGGAGCAGCCAATGGCAGAGGACCATCTGCTGTCGCACTGGCAACGGGTCGGCTCCACCCACCAGGTGTCCGTCCCCACAGGTGAGTAGTACTGCAGTACCTGTACTCACCTGTACTCACCTGTACACACCTGCACTCACCTGGACTCATCTGCACTCACCTGTACACACCTGCACTCACCTGTACACACCTGCACTCACCTGTACACACCTGCACTCACCTGCACTCACCTGTACACACCTGGACTCACCTGTACACACCTGTACACACCTGGACTCACCTGTACACACCTGGACTCACCTGTACACACCTGTACACACCTGTACACACCTGGACTCACCTGGGACTCACCTGTACACACTGGACACTCACCTGTACACACCTGGACTCACCTGTCACACACTGGACTCACCTGTACACACCTGTCACCTGTACACCTGCACACACCTGTCACACACACTGTACTCACCTGGACTCACTCACCTGTACACACCTGGACTCACCTGGACTCACCTGTACACACCTGGACTCACCTGTACACACCTGTACTCACCTGTACACACCTGGACTCACCTGTACACACCTGGACTCACCTGTACACACCTGGACTCACACCACCTGCACACCTGTACACCTGGACACACCTGTACACACACTGCACCTGTACACCTGTCACCTGTACACACCTGGACTCACCTGGACTCACACACACCACCTGTACACACCTGGACTCACCTGTACACACCTGTACACACCTGTCACACACTGTCACACACACTACCTGTACTCACCTGTACACACCTGGACTCACCTGTACACAGACTCACCTGTACACACCTAGACTCACCTGTACACACCTGGACTCACCTGTCACACACACTGTAGACTCACCTACACACCTGTACTCACCTGTACACACCTAGGACTCACCTGTACACACCTGGACTCACCTGTACACACCTAGACTCACCTGTACACACCTGGACTCACCTGGACTCACCTGTACACACCTGACTCACCTGGACTCACCTGTACACACCTGGACTCACCTGTACACACCTGGACTCACCTGTACACACCTCACCTGTACACACCTGGACTCACCTGTACACACCTGGACTCACCTGTACACACCTGTACACACCTGGACTCACCTGGACGCCCCTGCCAGCACCTGGACTCACCTGTCCTTACCTGGATGACCTGAGAGTGCTGTAGTACTACATGTATGTCTATGGCAGGATGTTCAGCTGTTGCCGTGGAGACACATGATAAACATAAAGATTTAAACTCTGGATTTTTCCACTTTTCAGACAATCTCGTTTTAAAAGACGTTTTTATTTTTCTGAGATCAAAACCAAACTCCAACGAAACTAAAGACAAATACTGAGTACAAATACTGTAGTACATATACTGCAGTACAAATACTGAGTACAAATACTGCAGTATAAATACTGCAGTATAAATACTGAGTACATATACTGAGTACAAATACTGCAGTGCATATACTGCAGTACAAATACTGCAGTACAAATACTGAGTTCAAATACTGTAGTACATATACTGCAGAACAAATACTGCGGTACAAATACTGCAGTACAAATACTTAGTACAAATACTGCAGAACAAATACTGTAGTACATATACTGCAGTACAAATACTGCAGTACAAATACTGTAGTACATATACTGCAGTACAAATACTGTAGTACATATACTGCAGAACAAATACTGCGGTACAAATACTGCAGTACAAATACTTAGTACAAATACTGCAGAACAAATACTGTAGTACAAATACTGCAGTACAAATACTGTAGTACATATACTGCAGTACAAATACTGTAGTACATATACTGCAGTACAAATACTTAGTACAAATACTGCAGTACATATACTGAGTACAAATACTGCAGTACAAATACTTGTGTGTGATACTTTTGTGTGTCAGAAATGACCGGCCCGATCCATGAAATGACCCGGAACAGCCACCAGAGGGAGACACTGCCCTACGCCCCCATCTCCTCCCACCAGAAGGTCTGCACCTGTCTGCACCTGTCTGCACCTGTCTGCTCCTGTCTGCTGTGTGTGTTGTGTGTGTTGTGTGTGTTGTGTTGTGCGTTGTGTGTGTTGTGCGTTGTGCGTTGTGTGTGTGTGTGTGTGTGTGATGTGTGTGATGTGTTGTGTGTGTTGTGTGTGTTGTGTTGTGTGTGTTGTGTGTGTTGTGTGTGTGTGTGTGTGTGTGTGTGTGCGTTGTGTGTGTTGTGTGTGTGTGTGTTGTGTGTGTTGTGTGTGATGTGTGTGTGTGTTGTGCGTTGTGTGTTGTGTGATGTGTTGTGCGTTGTGTGTGTTGTGTTGTGTGTGATGTGTGTTGTGTTGTGCGTTGTGTGTGTTGTGCGTTGTGTGTGTGTGATGTGTGTGTGTGTTGTGTGTGATGTGTGTTGTGTGTTGTGTGTTGTGTGTGTGTGTGTTGTGTGTGTGTGTGTGTGTGTGTGTGTGTGTGTGTTGTGTGTGTGTGTGCGTTGTGTGTGATGTGTGTTGTGTGTGTGTGCGTTGTGTGTGTGTGTGTGTGTGATGTGTTGTGTGTGTTGTGTGTGTGTGTGTGTTGTGTGTGTGTGTGATGTGTGTGTGATGTGTGTTGTGTGTGATGTGTGTTGTGTTGTGCGTTGT